CTACTCGCCAATATCCCTAGGGTTGTGATGGTGCAATCCTTGTCCTCCCCATCCCAACTAAATCCAAAGCCAAAAAGGATGAAGAAGGCCAAAGCAAAGGCCACAGTGACTCAGATCGATTCTGAGGACACTGTGCCAATTTCCAAACTTGTCGAGGCTGAAAAAAGCGCCCCTTCTGCCAATAAACGGCCAGCCGAGGTCCCATCATCCGATGTCCCACCGGCCTAAAAGCCAAGATCCGACCACCCAGAAGGCAGCAGCTATTCCCGCACCATGACTTGGGCGCCCGAGGTTATGGTCAACGACAGACCCTTACCGCCGGTGATAACGCGACAAATCTTAAAGTCGGCGCAGCCTTGTCAACGACTATTCTTTTGCCAGAAGACATGAACCGTATGGCTGAGTTACATGAGTATGAGAACTTTGCTCTCATGATGCAGCACTCGGTTTTGGTAATCTTCTTATACTTATTCATTTACAGTTTTTTCTATACTTAGTAAAATCTCACTAATCTGTTTTACTTCTTTCAGGCTATTCAGCATGCTCACTCATATGCTGTCAAAATCGAGATGATGAGAAAGGAGTTCGCAAGAAAGACCAAGGAAGCAGCCAAACTCCTATCCTCACTCAATAAAGTCGAGGCCAACAATCGAGCTCTTATGGACCAGGCTAAGGATGCCAAAGCTGCTCAGAGTTTGGTCGAGGAAAAAGCCAAAATGGCCAATGACGAAGTCGAGGCCGTAAGAGCCAACCTTGAAGTAGCCAAGGCCAAGGCAGCTGACATAGAGGCCAAGCTTCAAGAGGTCCTTGCCAATAAGGAGGCCGAAGTAAAGGTAACTGATGAAAAAGCATTTGAAGAGGGGCAGGCCGTCGTCCATGATCAATACAAACAGCAAGTCAACGAGGCTTGCAACTGAGGTTATTACCTCGGTTGGACGGTAGCTCTCAACAATTTAGCTATGCTGATGGACTCCGACCTCCAAGATATCAATCAGCTTCAAGTGCCTTTCCCTCCAGAGCCTAAGGACTCTAGTGATGAAGCTGACGAAGATGGTGCCGAGGATGGTGAAGCCAATGAATTGGAGGAAAAAGCTGCCACTGATCCCAAGTCTCCCACCCTCAACGAGCAAATAGACTTAACTCAAGATGAGGAGGATGACTTTGTCTCCAAGGGCGGCTCTCCTAAACGAACCACCTCTGAGGCAGAGGTTCAGTGTGCCGAAAGGAGTTTGGATCAGACTTTGCAAGAAATAGATGCCGAGATAGCGGCCGAAAAGAATGCAACACCGCCATCCGAGGTTGACAAATCACAGATCAGTCCTAGTACTTAGGATATGCCATCTTTTCCTTGTACTATTTCTTCTTTCAGTTGTATTTTGTTTTGTCTAAACAATGTTTAGCTTTATATTTGGCCAATGTGCCCCTTTTGTAATTAGAACAAGTAATCTTTTTTTTAATGCAAGTTTCCTCCTTTCTTCTAAGTGTTTGAATGCATTCTTTTCTCTTATATATTTTTACCACTTTCATACTTAGAATAATTTTGCATGTCTTCAAAGTATACCTTTAATTGTATAATCTCCTCGGGGTAAAGTACCTCGGATATAACCTTGAATGTTTTTCTCGGCCAACCATCGGTATACCTCGGCTAACACATTAAAAATACCAATATATTTTTACAAGTGTTATCCAGTATTGATTTTTTACTTTCACATGCTATCTTCTTTCAAGACTCCACCCTTTCCAAGCTTGGCAACCTGGTTGGCTATCTCGGCTAATATATATCTCGGATACTTCTTTTGATATTACCTCGGCTAATCTTCAACTTGTAAATTTTCCTGAAATTTCAACAAATGTTAAGCCAATTCTAGCTTGTAAATTTTTCTATAAAATTTCAACAAGTCCCAAGCACTTTAAACTTTAAACTTTTACTCATCATTCTCCAGCTCTTTGCCCCCTAATGTGAACATAAGTTTCACTTAAGTTCACATTAAGCACTTGTAGCCTTTCACCGAAGTCAGTGTCGAACAAAGACTAACTGAGGTGTTCAACCTGGGTTTCTTTGTTAATGCACTTAGTTCCATTTTGAGTTTGACTCTACCGATGTCCGTCTGTAGTTAGGCTAAACCTAGCCGACTTCAGTCTGGTCTTGTATGCTTCTTTGCGATCATCTGGGAGCTTCCCATCTCTAAGGAACATTATTATTGCATCCATCCAACTTGGACCCATCTCCACACACATTGCTTCATACTCTATGATTAGTGGTTCTACACTTGGGCCTGACAATTAATCAACCATTATTGTCCTTGCCTCCCCTGATATCATTGTACTAGCCAAGTTAGCCAAGGCATCGGCATGGCTGTTGTCATCTTAGTTAACTTGCTGTAGTCGGCAATCCTAAAATAAGGCTAACAGTCTGACAACCTCTTTTACATAGGCTATCATTCTTTCATCATGGGTTGCATACTCACTTGTTGCCTGGTTCACAATAAGCTGGGAGTCACAGAAGACTACCACCTCGTCGACTTCCATTGTTGCTGCCAACTTCAATCCTGTGATCAGTGCTTCATATTCTGCTTCATTGTTTGAGGCCTTAAACCCCAAACGGATAGATTGTTCTAACATCTGCCCATCTGGCGATACTAGCACTACTCTTGCCCCCGCTCCATGATGGTTTGAACTCCCATCAACAAATAGGCGGAAGGAGTCGCCGATGTAAATGTCGCAAGGCTTGAGTTTTCATTCTTTCTTTTGATCTACTGTGGGATTTTTCATTCCTAGGTGGGTCTCTTCTTGTTCCCCTAGACAACCTAAGCCACGGCTCATCGAAGTCCGACATGGGATGGCTCCAGGTGTGAACTCGGCCACAAAGTCGGCCAAAACCTGGCCCTTAATTGCTGTTCCAGGCCAAAATTCCAGGTCGTATTAGCCCAGTACTACTACCTATTTGGCTACCCTACCTGTCAGATCTCCTTGTTGTAGTAGGGACTTCAACGGGTGCTCAGTTAATACCACAATCATGTGGGCTTGGAAATAATGGTTCAACTTCTTAGAGGCCATCATTAAGGCCAATGCCAATTTCTCCAGAGGTAAATACCTAGTCTCTGTGCCTACTAGGGGTTTACTCACATAGTATACTACCATTTGTCCTCCATGCTCTTCTCTGATTACCACTGCACTCACTGCATGCTCTGAAACCGCCAAGTATAAGAATAGCTCATCTCCAAGTAATGGATTTGACAGAACTAGAGCTGTTGTCAGGTACTTCTTCAAGTCGACCAAGGAGACTTCATGCTCCTCTGTCGAAAAAAAATCTGTGGCCTTATTCAATAAACTAAAAAATGGTTTACACTTATCTGAACTTCTGCTTATAAACCTGTTCAGGGCTGCGGCCCTTCCTGTTAGCAAATGTACTTGTTTTGCCGATTTCAGCCTCTTCAAGTCAAGGATGGCCTTGATTTGATTTGGGCTTATTTCAATGCCCCTTCTAGTAACCAAATACCACAGGAACTTGCCAGATCTGACTCCAAATACGTATTTCGAAGCATTGAGTTGGAGCCGATATGTTCTAAGGATATTGAAAACTGCCTTTAAGTTGGCCAGGTGATTCTCATGTTCTTTGGTCTTCACGACCATATCATCAATGTATACTTCCACTGTTTTGCCAATCTAATGTCTTAATATCTTGGTTACTCACCTTTGGTACGTTGCTCCTGCATTTTTTAACCCAAAGGGCATCACTTTGTAGCAATACAGCCCTTTTGGGGTGATAAATGCAGTCTTCTCCTCATTAGGGGGTACATTGCTATCTGATGGTACCTCCTGTAAGCATCCAGGAAGCTCATCCTTCCATGCCCTGAAGTGGCATCTAGTAATTGATCAATCTTGGGGAGTGGAAAACTGTCTTTGGCACAAGCCTGATTCAGGCTAGTAAAATCCACGCAGACCCTCCACTTCTCATTCTTCTTTTTCACAACCACAGTGTTGGACAACCAAGTAGGGTAGTTTACTTCGCGAATGGCTTTGGCCTCTAACAATTTGTTCACTTCCTCCTCTACTGCCTCCACATGAACCAATGTCAGCCTCCCTGCTCGCTGAATAACGAGTTTTGTCGACTTGTCTACATTCATTCTATGGAATGTAACCTCGGGGTCAATGCCAGGCATCTCATATGGCGTCCAGGCAAACACCTCTATGTTTGCTCGCAAGAATGCTTCTAACTCCCTTTCCTCTTTCTCGGCCAAGCCTGAGCCGAGAAGGAAGAAGCGTTCTTCATCGCCTTGCTGGACCATAATTTTCTTCAAGGCTTCCTCGCTTTTGTCGATTGGCTCTTTTTCGACATCATCTAGGACCTCCATGTCCTCGTCCTCAATTTCTACTATCTCTACCTCTCGCATGTTGCAAGTGGATTTCATTGCTTCCATGGAGTAATTCTTTGCCTGCACCTGATTCCCTCTGACCTCCTCAATTCCATGCTCTATTGGGAACTGTAACAGCTAGTGCAGCATTCAGGGAACAGCCCTCATTGCATGCAACCATGGCCTTCCCAAGATAACATTGTACGGGAAGGGGGTGTCAATTACTGTGAACTCTGTACTTACCTTCTTGGAGCCTACATGCACCTCCAGATTTATTGCTTCCAGGGGCCATGTCGGCGTTCCATTGAAGCCGACCATTAGATTGTTGGACTGCTCCAGATCATCTCAGTGAAGGCCGAGCTCCTTGTAACATTTGACATACATGATGTCACAAGAGCTGCCTTGGTCAATCAGAATGCGCCTTACCTGGCATTCTCCAATCTTGAGGGATATCACCAGAGCATCATTGTATGGATGCTGCACCATGTCTAGGTTGGCTTTAGTAAAGGACACCATTGGTCCCTGGTACCCGTCTGCTCTAGGCCTTTTTTGCTGGACCTGATACACATGTTGTAAGTATTTTACCCTCTGAGTCTCCCCACGTACGTCATTTTTATTGACCTTTGAGTGAATCACATTGATCACTCAAGGTCCGTCTGCTTGCGATTGTGGTGCTGGTGGAGGTGGTGCTGCTGGTGCCTGGGACTGCCTTACTTGTTCTTCTCTTGTCCTGGCCTCATCTACCAGGTCTCTTAAGTGACCTTGTCTTACCAGATCTTCCAGATGTGACTTTAGGGCTCTACACCCCTGAGTCAGATGCCTATTCTCGTTGTGATAAGCACAGTGCTTCCACAGGCTTCTTCCCATAAATCCGCTAGGGATTTTCTCTAGTGCTCTATAGTAAGGCTGATTCCTGATCCTTTCCAAGACTTTGTAAACCGGGATCCAGAATACTATGGTGACTGCCTGTGCAGCCCTCGATCCTATTTCTTGTCTGTTATATCCAGTATTGCCTCGGCCTCGCTTCGGCAAGCCGTTTCTCTTCTCCTGTTTTGATGCCTTTGTCCCTAGCATGTCTTCTTCAGCTCTCGCATATTTCTCGATCCTGGCCATGAGTTCCTCCATACTTTTTGGCAGCGTCTTTGCCAGTAACTTTCGAAGCAGGCAGTCATCGTTCAGGCCATTCTTAAAAGATACGACCGCCAACTCTTGGTTGCACCCTAGTATTCGATTAAAAACCTCATAACACCTTTTGGCATAAGCCCCGAGGCATTCGTCTTCGCCAATTTTGAGAGCCATCAGGGAGTCTACCCTCAATGGTTGTAGTTTGTTTGTAACAAACATGGCCACAAACATCTCGGCCAGGCCTTTCCAACTTTTGACAGTTCCTTTCAACAACTTGTGAAACCAATATGATGCGATTTCTCCAAATGATAAGGGAAACACCTTGCAAAGCAATGGTTCGTTCCCTGTATACAGTGCCATTGAGTTCAAATATAAACCGACGTAAAAGTTAGGATTGGTTTTACAGTCGTATATCTGGAATCTTGGCATATGGAACCTTTTCGGGGCCTCAAACTTATCCAGCTCTACTGAGAATGGCGCTCTCGGCTTGACCGGGGATGTGACCTCAGCATCTTGTCGCTTCCTTTGGAGGTAGTCCCTCAAGTCCTTCTTAGTCTGTCCAAGAGCTCTGCTGTCAACGGGTTTTAGCCTTTTTGGTGCACTACTCCCGATGTCGTTATGAGTCTTCTTGGACCTCCCTCCATTCGTCGTGTCAAAACAAAGCACATTCCCTTAAACATGCCGATGTTCCTTGGCATAAGTTTTCTTGCACGAGGCGTCTTCTAAGACTCTCCTCTCATCAATTCTCCTCTCCCGACGTCCCATGAAGGCTAGTGAGAATGCTCCTTTTCCCTGTCATGCTAAAGGACTGTAGGGATTGCTTTCTGCCCTCCTTTCTGGGCATTGTTCTTGGCCGCCAGAATCGACGTGTCCTCCAATAAGAATGGTGGTTGCATGACGTTGTTCTGCATCATGAAATTGACAATCGATTGCAGGTCTGCCAATTTGTTTTCCATCCTCTTCATCTCGCAGTCCCTCCTCAAGCATCTATCTTTCCATACCTGGAGGTCATTTTCGTTGTAATACTCGCCTCAGCCTGCCTTCTTTGGAACGTCTCCCTATTGGCCGATGTCCTTTTCCCCGAGATTCTACTTCCGGGGTTCTTCATTACAAGTCTCTTCTCCTACATTGGGATCGACGTGTTTGCCACTTCCACTAGGGATGTCGTCTTCAATCTTCTCATTCTACCCGTCGTTGGCCATCTATTCTCCTTACGTTTCCCACAGACGGTGCCAAATTGTGGGTGCTGATTTCTGACCACATTGCCAAACAAGAACTCAGCAGGAGAGCATAGACAGAATAGATCACACCCTAACAACCTGTCACAGATAAGACTCTGGCAGTGGTTCGTCTACCCGAGGGCACTCCGACGATCAAGTCAGTACTCAATTATCTCTCAAAGATAGCAAATAACTTAACTCACAAGCTAGAATACAAAAAGCGTACCTTAGACCCTCGAGGGTGCCATACTTTTAGAACCAGCACTAACTTGATCCCCGTAGAAACCTAACTTTAATGGAATTTGGCTCAATGCTCATCTTGGATTCCCAGCCAGATAGGAATAAATTCCCTAAGAGCTTTATCTTTATCTAGATTAAGGTCTTTCCCCATGTTAGGACTCTTGTCCCTTATCCGCTCATCTCGAATTTCGGTATCTCTGCAGATAACCTCGGCCTAGCCAAGATCACGTCGACAACATGACCAAGACACGTGGTACCTCGGTTGACACTTCGGCATCACCTTTGGCCACGTGTTGTCATTCCCAAAATGTGCCCCCATAGTACGTTCCTGGCATCCCACATCGGGAATAGAGGGGAGTTCCTGGGCTATAAAAGTAAAAACCTAGAGTTCAAAGTACCGAGTGTGGGCCCTCGGCGTCTCTCGGTGCATGTGGGCGAGCTTGTGAGCTGGCAGGCTACTGCACGAGGATGTGTAGCCCTAAGGGGGGTGGATTGTATGGTCCTGCTATCCCACATTGGGAATTGAGTGGGAGTTCCTAGGCCATAAAAGTAAAAGCCTGGACCCTTATATAGCATGAAGACCTTTTCCCAGGTGGTGAAATCCCTAACAGAACTCCCCAGTTAAGCGTGCTTAGGCTGGAGTAGTTTTAGAATGGTTGACCCACTGGGAAGAACAAATCTATGCGGGCGTGGCCCAAAGCGGACAATATCGATGACATTGGGGCGTTACAGTTACACTAAGGAATTTGTTTGAAATGTTACATTTGGAAAAAGTATGCTAAGGAATTTTTATATGTTACATTAGAATGTTATACTAAAGAGTTTTTGTGTGTTACATTAGAGTGTTACCCTAAGGAGTGTTATTAGAGTGTTACATTTGGGAACAGTACACTAAAAAGTTTTTTTATGTGTTACATTAGAGTGTTACACTAGGGAGTTTTTTTTTTTTTTTTTTTTTTTTTTTTTTTTTTTTTTTTTTTTTTTTTTTAGGTGAAAGGCGTAGTAGGGGTCGCCAGGGTGTACATGAGGTATGCCAAGGGCCGAATATGACCGACATGGGAGACATTTGTGGTGGCCTTCCAAGACAAGTACCTACCTCCCACTGCTAGGGAGAGATTGAGGTATGAGTTCCAAGACCTTAAGTAACTTAACATGTTCGTGGCCGAGTTCAAAGCGGCCTTTTCTAGTTTGTCCCGATTTGCACCAAAGTTAGTAGCGACGGAAGAACGCCGTTGCATTGAGTTCAATAAGAAGCTTAGAACCAAGATCTTGTTCAAGGTTTCCGGGAACATGATCTGAAATTATGACCGTCTTGTAGAGGTGGCTGCACATGTGGAGATTACTGTGGAGGCTGAGGAGAAGAGACTTCAGAATTCGAGGTCTAGGGGCCAAGGGTCACAGGGAGACTATAGGCTCTCTCTCTCTCTCTTTTGAGCTTAGTGTGTGTGTTTTGTTTTACTTTTGCTCACAAGCACCCACCATCACACCATCCCTTGGAGCTGAGGCCTCTTGAGGGTTGTTTTGGAGGTTTTGAAGCTGGTTTCAACCTAAAGAAGCTGCTGGAGCTCCATTGTTGAAGAGGGTCTTCAAGGGTAAGAAGCTTGCTCCTTTTTACCCCTTTCTTGCATTGTATTTTTGCCTACCTTACAACTGTTTTTGTGTTTAGTATATAACATAAAAAATTTCTATTTTTAGGCCTTCTAAACAATTTGTTTAGAGTGTTTTGTGATTTGAGGTTGTTTAACCCCTTTTGAGGCTTGTAAGGCTCCTTTTTGTGTGAGCTCCGGGACCATTGAGTTTGGGCCTCCTCACCACTGAAATCTTGAGGGATTTCAGAGGTGGGGATGGTGCCTTGAGGTCCTAGGAAGGAGAGGGCCACCCCCTCTCCTTGTTGTCCTTGAAAAGGACCATTTTTTGGCCTCTTGAGGGAGCACCATGTTTAGGTTCATGTTGACCATGCCTTAGCTGATTTTTGTGCTTATTATGTCATAATATGCCTCTGTTTTTAGTTGGTTTTGGTACACCATGCTTGTTTAGCATACATGCCTTGTAATGCCATTTTGTTGCCTTAACATGGCTTAGGTTGTAAACCATTGTTCTAGCATGTTTTAGGCTTGGTTTTGTGAAGCTTTCATGTTTATTTTGCCATGATTAAGGTCTGTCCTTCGTTGTTTGGGTCGATGTTAGCATGTATTGCATAGTCCCTTTGCATTTTGACTTGTCGGCCTCAAGTGTGTGATTGTGTGGTATGCATTACTTGCATCATTTTCAGTGGTTTGGGACCACTTTCCATGCTATTTCAATCCTCATAACATGCTTGCATGCTTGCCTCTTGATGCTTCTTTGATGCTTTAAAAGCTTGTGTTGAATGCTCCATGTTTGGTCTCTTTTGCATGCTTCCATTTTTAGGATACTTGGATGCCATCTAGGTGTTCCCTTAGCATTGTTTAGGTCTGCCTTGAACATGTTTTAAGTCTTCTTGGCCTTGTGGGGCTTGGTTGGCTGGGCCATGGTTTAAGTCTCCTTGCCTTGCCTCAAGTATTTGGACCAATTGCATGCTTTGTTTGTCTCGTTTGCTTGGTTTAGCACCATCATTAACCTGATTTTCAAAGCTCGTGTGCATGCCATATGTTCATGTTTGCATCCTCCTAAGTGTGCTTGAGAATTGTCTCTTCATGCCTAAGTGTTGGTCCTTGTATACATGCATGTTTGCATGCCATTAGTCCTTCATTTTTGGGCACTTTGGCCACTGTTTTGGGCCTAGTTAGGGCTGCCTACGTCATGTTAAAGTCCATCCCTTGCATGCCATTCAAATGTTGTTACATTCCCTCCATGTTTGCATGCTTTGGTTGCATGTGCTGCATGCTTGGAATCACTCGCATTAGTCATGCATTCCCTTGGTCGAGTTGCTAGCGTGTTGCATGTCTTGTACACTTACATGATTAGATCACATCTCGCATGCTCTAGTAGTTCGCATAGTTGTGGTATGCTTGTTGGCCTTGTTGCTTAGGTTGTGTACCTAATGTGCATTGCATGTTCGTATGCTCCCTTTTATGCCATATTGCATACTAGCCCATATGTCTAGGTTGCATTGCACTAGCATGCATACCTTGTCCCTTGACCTAGTGATGGGAATTGGGCCTTTGATTTGTTTACATGCATTGCATGACATTTGAAATCAAAAGCGCACACTTGGTTTCTTAGGCCATCACGCATCGAAATGCGCGATTGATGGTCCGAGAACCAAGGACCATGTCCCTTTGAGTCATAAACATGATAAGGGAAATGGTTGGTGCATACATTGCTTGAATTGCATTGCCATGCAAAGCTCTGTCCTCTCCTGCTGTCAAACAGATTCTGCAGGAACTTTTTGCCGATCGACTGCACAGAGTGCCGACTGGCAATCCATCTGTAGCCGATGGATTCATTTTTGACCGATCAACACCAAATCACAGCCGGTGATGATTCCCTCCAGCCGGTGGCATTCCCCAACATCCAGTGAGCACATCCTGAGACTTTGGCAGTCTTCAGAGAAGCAGAGCAGGGAAAACAGAGGCAGCCTATGCATGGCAGTGGACTTCCGAGCACGCGTGCATTGAGCCCTCTTCCCGAGGCCCTTTTTTCTTGCTTTCTTAAATTAATTAATTCGTTTAATCAATTTAGTTGGTCTGTAATAATTAATTAGCTAGGATAGTTAATTCATTATTCGAATTG